CACGTCAGTTCTGATGCTTTTTGAGATCCCCAGCAGAGCACAACGTGCACCCAACCTTAGCACAAAACAGGAGTGTGATCACCCACTTGGGCATGATTTCAACGTCTGCACCCGTGCTTGACAGCCACAGCTCTCTGGCAGCATCATCCCATCTTCAGCCCCTCCGGGTTGTAACAAGCCCTCTGTCTCACCTGTATAAACCATTTCTCAGGGTACGCACTGTAGTTCACTTACCAGGAAGAAATCAGGTTGTCTTCCCTATTTATATGGATCATTTTTCATTTTTCAACCATTTTCTCCATACTGTAACTTACTTTTTGCATATCCACCATCATTTCCTTGTTTTAAGAAGTTTCAGGGCAAGGTTCTCCCCATTGCTGGAAAAGCCATTCCCTGTGTGAATTGTTAGTGGTAGGAAAACTGATCTCAAGATAGAAAACACTCATAAAAGGAAGGCAATCAGTAGATCCTCAGGGTGAAAGCACAGGGCAGAGCTCAGTGGGATCCAGGTTCTATTTCTGGCGTTGCCCTGTTTCAGGGGTGACTGGAAAGAGCAGTTGCCCCAACCGTAAAGGAGATCTAGAAACAGAAAGTGCAATAGTTTATTGCTATTTATGGTGCTTCTGGCAGCTCTTGCCATGACCCTGATGCACCATCCCAGATCATTTTAAACCTCTCTGATTCCATCAACAGTTCTGATTGATACAGCTGGATTTCAGGCTTTTGGAGCCCTGATGGTCCTCACTGCTTGCAGGAGCCCAATGGCTTTCTGGAGGCCGAAATTGCTGAGAAAATAAATTTCTGTGGCACAGCCTCGTTTCCTGCGCTGGGAGGGAGGCCTCCGGTGCTGACTCATACGCCTGCTTGGCCCCCACGTGCCTCGGCTGCTCCCCACCCATCCCCTCCAGCAGGGACCGAGCTGCCCGTGTTTGTCATGGCAGTTGGGGAAAGGAAGGTCCAAAAGAAGCGGCCATTTTCCACTTTGTTTCCCTTCTTTTTCTCTACTCCTCCAATCTTTGAGTTTGGATTTTGTCTTTAAGTGATGCTGTGCTAAAGGAACTGTTTTCCTGCTCTGGTGCAGCAGAAACAGGGTGCTCTGGTGTTTTGCCGAGTCCCTTCTCCTTTGTACTTTCTTCTTCCACTCCCAACAGGGGTTAAAAAACCAAAACATGAGAAGGGAGGGAAAAAAAAAAGGAAAGAGCAAAATAACCAGTTTTCTTATTCTGAGAATCTTTTAATCAGAAAAGCTGGCATTTAAGCAGCATCCCTTATTGTTTGAAAAGTCGTTTTTATCATGTATATATATGAGGCCACCAGGTCCTGTGATCTGTTTGAGAGAAGGACTTCAGTCCTCAGTGCTGACACACGGTAGCGTCAGCCTCGCAGAGATGGGACACCGGTATTTGCAGCTCCTGCTCTGCTTTGTCCTAGGGTTGCCTGTCTCTCCAGGGAAGCACCATCAAGGAGGTGGCCAGCAACTCAGAAGAAGGAGGGAAATTTATCTTCGAAATCATCCTAGGTGAGGATGCTTCACTCCTCTTCGTTGCATGCTTTTGGGCTGCCAGTCCTTTTGCTCCCACTTCTTTTCAGGGTCCCCACAGCGCTGCATTACACACAAAGCCCAATGTCTTGCTTTCAATACTCACATGTCAGGGCTGGGGGAAGGCCCTGTGCCCATGCCCCATGCTTGAGAAGCCTTGCCAAGCTGCAACGTTAAGCAGTTTCTGTTCCTTTCCTGCAGAACTTCAGCAAGGCTGCAATGTAAGAGCGCTGCTTCATTTCACAGCCAAATAGACATTAATGGAGAAATTTGCAGCCAAAAGCATTTAGCAAAGGAAAGAACAATAATGTCTTTTTTTCCTCCAATCCTCTCTATAAATCATGCATAAATGTTTTTTTTTGCAGGGGTGTCTGGAGACCAGAACCGGACGGGGCAGGACACCTGTGTGCTCATGGCTAATTCCCAGTCTGAGATGGAGGAATGGGTTAAATCCATCCGACGAGTGCTGGGGTCAGCGTCAGGAGGTAATGGAGAGCAGGCACAGTTCTCGGAGAGGCGATTTCCTACCATCTCCTTGTGCTCTGCAGTACTTTTGTGCAAGGATTTCAAAGCTGGGCTCATAAATCCTTGAAACTGGCAAACGAAGCTGTAATGTGACTGTAACTGGTAATGCCTTAGAAACCTACTCCTAGACTGGACCCTGCGGTGTTGGGTCTGCTACAAACATGGGCAGCATTAAGGAAATGGCAGCCAAGCATGAATGAAGATTTCTGGGCTGGTTTCAACCTCTCTTGCAAACTTCCTCATTGACTTATTGACCCCAGAATATGTTGTTCCTTAAAACAGCTCATATTCAGGGATATAGCTAGCATTGAAAAATCTTGCCTTTCCCCTGCCAATTTCCTCGCTTTGCTTTTCTTCCAGCTTTTCTCGCTCAGCCCAGCCCTTCTGCCCCCATAGTCTCTGCAGAATCCGCCTTGGCCACGCAGTCACCCTCCCACATGCAGACAAGGCTTGTGGTGACAGGATCCTTGCTTCCAGCCCTTTTGGGCATGCATTTATGCCGTTACAAAATGGTGGTCATGGAAGTATAGAACATGAATCAAGCAGAAAGGAGCACACTGTAAATTCACCACCAACAGGCGAAGCCCACAAAGGAAACAGCAAAGGTCACTCCAGCTACTTTTCCTATAAGGACAAACCATCCAGACTTTTCCTATAAAGGTGAACTCCTATAAGCAAGATCCACCAATGAAACACGGCTGGGAGCCTCTCTAGCTCTCTTCCAAAAGAGCACTAACCTGGATGGTCATCCTGAGCCTCTCCTCCCTCCCTCTGTGCTTTGCCCTGACTATTTATGTAATTGTTTATAGCATCCATACACCCTTCAGCTGTATAGAATCATGGAATGTTTTGGGTTGGAAGGGACCCCCAGAGGTCACCCAGCCCAACCCCCCTGCAGGAGCAGGGACACCTTGAACCACATCAGGTTGCTCACAGCCCCGTCCAACCTGGCCTGGAATGTTCCCAGGGATGGGGCCTCCACCCCCTCTCGGGGCAACCCCTGCCAGGCTTTCACCACCCTCACGGCAAAGAATTTCTTCCTTAGACCCAGTCTAGTGTAGGACTACATGACAGAGCTCTGGTCTCTCCGATGTAAATACTACAAGTCACAGCAGTTCAGAGGCAAGCAGGTGCTGCCAATTTGAGCTGTTTCACAGTGTGACCCTGCCATAGGCACAGGTAACCTTCACCTAAATGACGACACAGCTGGTTTTTATCTGCAACCCTGGTGTTTTCTGCCTCTAAACTGAAACATGCCATGCCCCAGGGCAGGCAGCATTACTCATCTTAAATTAGGATTCCATGAGCCAGAAATTTCCACCTGGCTCTAATATTTAATAACAACTCCACATCTGATCTTTGCTTAAATTTAGGAGGCTGCCAGTTTCTTCCAGTGACCTTAAATGATAGAAAATGTAAATTTATAGTAGTACAGGGAGCCCTGAGGATAGCAGAGAATTCAGATACTACAGAGCTACATTTTATGTCGATACACAGGGTAACAGACCCCAAAACTTCACGCTTTAGGGTCTTGGCTTCAGTGCAAGCTGAGGCAATATGTGCTTTTAAAGCGACCCACTGCATAGAGGAGGATTTGGCAAGAGCCCACCTGGCAGCAGCCCCATATGACCCAGCTAGTTGTACACCAAAAAGCAGAGCAGCTGCAAAGAATGAAGCAACAAAATCTTAGAGGGCTTTTGCCACCCACAACAACAGCCACATGCCAGGTGGGCTGGCATGGGCATCCCATTGGCCCTGGGGAGGTATCCCCAAATTAACAAATCCACCACCTTGCATTTAAATAAGCAATTCATTATCAGCTACCAAAGCAGCAGGGCAAAAATAAAGCTCTTTGCCTTTACTGTGCACAATGACAGGTTTATATTCATTATTTAAAAGTGTAAGCAAGTCATAAATGAAAAATCCCCATGATCAGGCAGGTGCTGACAAGCCTCGTGGTTCTACATGAGAGTGTTTACTTGCATTTTCCTGGTCTGGAAGATCTGCAGGAATTATTTCAGCCTTTAGAGCACGAGGTGAACACATCACAAGGACTGCTGGGGCAAAAATATGGTAGAGGACCATAGGACCCTTTGCCATTAATATCCCTGAGCCAGTTCAAGTTGGGATTTGTCTGCTCTTACCATGCCCCAGACTCCAAGGAGGAAGAGCTGGGATGCAGGCTGCTGCCTTCCCACCTTTGAGCTTTTCTTTTGCTGCGAGTTGAGGATGAAAAGGCCATTTCTCCGAAGGAAAGGTACCACCCGCTGCAAAATACTGCTCTTCTTTGCACAGGGATTTCTGGAGGAGGAGAGGTGAGGGGAGGGGGAAGAAAAGTGACTAAATTGGTAAGACTTCCAGTCCCTGGAAGACTTTGCAAGGCTGCTGCTCTTATTTCTTGGTGATCTCCTGTGCTTTCTATATCCTTCAGGTCTGTGTAATGAGCTTGCCTTCCCTCCTTGTGCCCTTGCATCAGCCTTTTTGCTGTTCTTTTCTCCCTCTGTATCAGCAGCCTGCTCCAAGGCAGGCAAGCAGCATGGCAAAAAACAAGGCTCACTGCTTGGTTTTAATCATTTTCAGAACTGTTAATTATTTGGAGGAGGAACAAGGTTTCATTTTGCTATTATTTCTTTGGAAGAAGTTCTGCTTTCCCCAAGTGTGCAGACTTCTTGCTCCTACGCTATCAGAAAAGCAGGTACCACTGTTACATTTGCGGTGATGCACTTTGGTAGGTAACGTGCCTTTAGCAAAGCTTTTGGGCCCCTCTCACCTCTCTATCCTTTCCCTAGTGGTGTTTGGCCAGCGCTTGGCAGAGACCATGGCCTATGAACAGAAATTTGGGCAGCACCAGGTCCCCATCCTGGTGCAGAAGTGTGCAGAGTTCATCCGGGAGCACGGCATGAGTGAAGAGGGCATCTTCCGTCTCCCCGGCCAGGACAACCTGGTGAAACAGCTCAGGGACGCATTTGATGCTGGGGAAAGGCCATCATTTGACCGGTAATGCTGTATTCCCCCCCTCCTACTCAACTAGGTCTCATACACCCCAAAATGTGGGGGCCCCAGAGAGCCCAGCAGTGCCCTGTAGGAAACTTGGACCCTCCAGAGGGCTTGATAAGGAGAGAGGATTCAGCAGAAACCCCAAATGGAGGTAAAAGCAGAATCAGGGGGTGCTGAGATGAGATTAATGGCAATAAAGGAAAGCATTTAGGAAAATCCTGGCCCCACACAGCCATTATTATTTGTGAGACCAGCCAAGAAATGAGGCAAAGGGAAGAACCTGCATAGCCCATCAGCTAAGGGTAGAGGTTTAGAGAAGGAAGCATAAGTAGAAGATCACAAATAAGCTCAGAGAACACCTTGATGCTCACATCAGAAGTTATTTCTTTCCCTGCCAGCCCATAGTCATGATATTTGCCTCCTGTTGCTTCTCCCCACACCACTATATAGAGATGAGAGAAAGATTTGGATGCAAGGCTGAATCCTCCTGACCCCCTTCCTCTGCAGGACTAAGAGGAAATGGCAAACTCCCTGAAGCCAAGAAAGCAGCTTGTAGGTAGACCTACCTGCAGGTCTCAGAGAGGCTTTGGAGAGAGACATTTGCCACTGCTACCTCTGTCATGCCCTATGCAAAATGAGAGAAGAAAGATAAATCCCTGGTGCATCTCTTTATAAAGCCCTCCCTTGATAGCTTGCAGACCAGCTGCCCCTGCAGATGCCTCATTATCTCTAAAGAGGTTTCCCACCGGTTCCCACCCCGAAGTCAGAGTTTAACCCCTTACTTCTGGCCCTAGTTGCAAACGTCGTTGCCCAGCCTTCCCTGCTCACTCATGCAGGCTGCTCTGGGGCTTCACCCAACAGTTTGCGCTGGTGAAAGCAATGACCCCTGTGCTGGGGTAAAGGAAAAGTGGGTTCTGCCTTTCCACTGCGCCTAAAGTGAAGCTTTTTGGTTTAATTCCTGCCCTGTCCTATCCTAATGGAGACAGGGAGCGCCCAGGCTGCTGCATGTGTATGAAGGTGCTTGATACTGCCGTGGTTATGCCCCTAATGCAGGGAGCTGCCCCATACGGCACCACCTGAGCTCTGAGAGCTGCTGGCAAAATCTGGGGTGCTCGTGGGAGGGGAGCACCCAAAACCAGGAGCTTCCCTGGACTTTTGTGCAAAACAGTTTGCCTAAGCGGAGCGAGGGGGCCTCATCCCTGTATTTGCAGGCCTGTCCCTAACTGCAAAACTTTTCCTATTTTCACCTAGCTTTGTGCAGCTTGGTTAGGAAAAACCACAGCACTTTTACCTAAACAGTCCCTGCGCTGTGCAAGGTGGAGCCACGGCTGCTCTGGGAGCGTAACCATCCTGGTTGTTGGTTTTCCAGCTGAATATTTCTTGCTTTCTGGGTGCCAGAGTCCTGCTGAGAGCTTTCCTGTTGTAACCTGTATGGGGGTCATAGGAAGGTGAAGCATATTTTTTTTTTCTTTTCTTTTGCTGTCAGAGCTGTGTTTTGCAGCAGGGCATGGAGAGGGAGTTTGGCCCTCTTCCCACACCCTGCCATGTTAACCCTGTGCTGCAGGGCTTGCTATGAGCATTGCTGGGGTGATCTCAGGGTGACTGCAACCCCCACGCACTTCAATCAAAACATTTTCTTAGTGAGGAGGAAGGCCAGTAATGGGGTTTTCAGGGACCTGAATGCTGCAAGATGCTGGCTCGCCCTTCAGTGCCATCTTCACAGCCTGTGCACAGGGACACTTGCGTGCACAAGCATGGCAGGATTGAGTGGGGAACATTAGAAAGCTGCCGTTGCAGCCCAGGCATCCAGGATGCCTGATAGTGTGTATTTATAGGCCCTACAAAAATACAGCTCTGAAAAAACTCCCCGACGGTTATGTGCGTTTGTTAAAAATAATAGTATTTTTAAAACCCCACCCAATCCTAAAAATAAATGACCTGGGGGATTTTTGCTAGAAGTTTATAACAGTTTAGCGACTTCAAGGTAGGTCAAATTAGAGGCTTACGATCTTGACAGTGTCCTTTTGACATAATGTAAACTATATGGTATGCAAAGCTGCAAACATCTGTCCCGGCAGAACATCTTCAGTAATTGCTGTTAATCTTAAAAACCCCAGGCAAGCTTCGCCAGCTCCGCGCCGAGTGGGGAGTGCCTGCCAAACATGTGAACACCAGACAATATTTGCATGCAAACCCTCACGAGTCAAACGCAGGCTGGGAAGGCTCAGCCCGGGTATGAACACTGGGGACCTGCCAGCCCCACGGTGGGGAAAATCTCCACCAAGCATTTATTTTCCTGCCAGCTGGGGCTGTTCCCTGGCTTGGGGTGCCCTATGGATTCCCCCCAGCTTGGTTTGGCCTCCCTGTTTATCTCTCTCTGTTTCCTGCACCTATACACAGAGTTTAAATATAATCTCATGCTCCTGGAGCAGGGTTGGGTTTGCTCACCAGCTGGGTGCAGGTTTCCTGTGAGTGGCTCTTTGCACGTTGCAGGGATACGGATGTGCACACGGTGGCTTCTCTGTTCAAACTCTACCTGCGGGAGCTCCCGGAGCCAGTTGTACCCTGGATGCAGTACGAGGATTTCCTGCTGTGCGGTCAGGCACTGGATGCGGATGAGAGAAAGGTAGAGATGCATTCATTTCTCTCCTTCTGGCCTTAAAATTAGCTGTGTTTCAGTGCCAGGGCTTTGTGAGCTGGAGAGGCCAGGTGCATACAGAGCTGTGCATTATAAGCTGTGTAATTACTGAGCTTTGGAATCTGAAAAAAAAAAAAAAAGGGGGTTAAAATTAAAAAGAGAAAATCTCCCAAAGCCAGTGGGGTTTCCCAACTTGACAACATGGGTTTATCCATTTTAAAGCTTAAATTCCTGGAGCAGATCTTAGAGCTGCTCAGCACCTCTTTTCCTTGAACCCCTGCAGCAAACAGTGAGTGTGAACACCAAAAGAGGAAGGAAACACAACCTCCTGCAGGCTCCATCAGCCCGAGCTGAGAGCGGAGCTGCCATGGGGCTCTGGGTGAGACTAAGGAAGGAAGTGGGGACTTGGGAGAGGGAGAACAGATGGGAACTGTCTTTTCCTGATGATACATTTGAGTGGAAAAGAAGCCCTCCACTGCAAAAATCCAACTCACGGATGCTGTTCCTATACACAGAAAAATAAGGCAGATCTCCTCAGTAGCATGAGCTCTGTGAACTGCAGCGCTCAGCCCTGTATTTCAAGGGCAAATGTTTTTTGTAGGCTGTTTCACTTCAGGATTTTGGGGGTTAAGAATTTCCTAAATGTCTATATACAAGAATTGCAAGGAGATTAGGCATGATCCGCTCTTTCCAAAGACCTCACCACACACGTGCTGGGCTGGAGGGGACCCTGCTCTTTCCTTCGTTACCGCGGCAGCAGCCGTGCTGGGCAATGGGCTGCCTCTTCTTGCTGAGCACTGTACAAAAACTTCTCCATGTCCATGCTTGGTTTGCCAGAGAAATGTAATTTCCAAGGTGAGCAAATGCCAAGAGGTGGGACCATACAGGGATGGATGGAGTGACCAAGAGCCGCTCTTGAGCCTGTACACATCTGTGAATCTTTATGGAGTTATTTCTTAACTTGCATTTAGGGCCATCAGGAACTCCTGAAGCAACTGTCCCTCCTTCCCAGAGACAACTACAACCTCCTCAGCTACATCTGCAGGTCAGTCCTCTGCACAAAGTATAAACAGCTCAGATTTGGTGTTGGTGAGTAGAAATAGCCCAAAGGCTGAGGCTGACTCCTCTAGAGAGAGCCCTCTTAAGCTGGGGTTTGGTTCTCCTCAAGGCACCAGATCCTGGCGTTTGTAAAGGGAGAATTTCAGCCATGGGGACAATGTCTGAGCATGAATGCCTACCCTAAAACTCACATATGAATCCCTGAGAATTAAAATCAAACATAGATTTTCTAGACAAAGCCTTGTGGAATAAAACCACTGGGTTTCACCCAGCCTGGGTGATTTCTCTGTGGTTATTAAATATTATGGGGGGGTTTCCTTTCCTTTCTGATTTTTTTTGGGTGAGCAGCTCATCATGTGGTGGTTTTTCTATCGACAACAATAAGACCCAGCTCCAGTTTGCAGTTATAAGGCAACTATATGTTTCTGTCCTTGGGACTTAGAGGAAGACCTGGATGGTTTAATCAGAATTTTATACCAGTGGGTGTGTATGGCTTTTTGCAGTCTTCCTTCTCCAACTTGAAATATTTTCCCTTGGACTCTGGCAGGTTTCTACATGAAATACAGTTGAACTCTAGTGTCAACAAGATGAGTGTGGATAACCTGGCAACAGTGATTGGAGTGAACCTCATCAGACCCAAGATAGAGGATCCCGCGATTATTATGAGAGGTAAAAGGGACTGCTGGAATAATTGGCATGGGAACAGCCAATATGCTGACATACTCAGCTGCATCCACAATCTTGAAATTAAAAATTTTCTACGGTACACCCATGGATATAAGCCAGACACATGCCTGGGCACAGTAAGGATGGCAGGGTAGAGTAAAGCCATGTGTTAGGCTATAAATGTGTTAACAGTGACAAAAACCCCTCAGGAGTTGCACTCAGTGTTCTCTCCATAGATTTCAAACAATTCAGGGATTTGGTGAAGTCACCTTCATTTTGCTTAGAGCAGGAAGGCGTGACATTCTCCTTAGAGAAACAAAGGAAGCTCGAAGAAATTACTGTTTAGCTGACCCAAACTGTAACACCACGGGCAAGGACAGATGCGGCAGAACTAATAGAAGAAATATTTTAAGGCCAAAGACTGCTCTGCTCTCACATGCAAATGGTCCAGGTATTCATATGTCTGCTCATGTAACTGATACTTGTAGTTTGCTTGTCGAGCCAAAGAAAAGCGTGATTTGTTGCTTGGTGCAACTGAGCTGACTCCTGTCTTGGTTGCTCCATGGTTTACTCTTCTGGAGCGACATAAAAATCCCTCCCTTTATTTGTTTTTATGATCGTGCTCCTTGTCTTCACCTGCATTACTATGTGCATCTTCATTTTGGACACCAGAAAGACCAACCAGAAAATGCAAGTGTGGGTGGAAGGAAGCCTATCACATTGGGTTTGCTGCTGACAGATCTCTAATTTCTTCCAGGCACACCACAGATCCAGAAAGTGATGACTGTGATGATAAGTGACCATGCAGACCTCTTTCCCCCGTCCAAGGACGTGCCGCCCTCCTCACCTGCCCAAAAAAATGACAAGAAGGCCCCAATCCCACGCAGCTCCGTGGGCTGGGATGCTGCAGAGGACCCTGCGGTGCCCAGGGCAGAGAGCTTGATCCAAAGGGAAATGGTAAGGCTCAGAGAAATAATAAGATATAAATTGAACAAATGTGTGATTAATTATTATGGGATCCAAGAGGTCAGCGAGCCACTAAAAGCGTTTGCTATTAATAGGGTAAAGAGCTGTAACTGTCGTCCCTGGAATATCTACATCAGGAAAATGATGTAGATCAATTTTCCACTTTCCTGTGGAAAATCTGCTGTTCTGGGAAAAATGAAAACTCCTGAAGTTTTTTAGCTCAAAGGCAGTATAGATTAAACTTTTTCAGCCCACGCTGGTGAAGTGAAAACAGTAAGGATTAAAGGCTTTTCTCAGAAAGAAAGAATCTCTGCAGAAAGTTCTTTTTAATGGAAAACATGGTGCAACCCCAAATAATTTTTTATGGAAAACTTGTGGCCATTCCTGTTACCACGCTAAAATGTGCCTTTTGTAAATATTGCAGTCGCTGCAACCTGTCTCTGCTCACAGAGCAGGACGAGGCTGTCCTAATGCCGTGGGTCTATTTTACAGAGAGGTGACCTGAATTCCAGCAGTGCCCCCGGACCGGCTGCGAGCTCAAGTGCACCCAGAGAAGATAATGGGTCCAAAGATACCCTGGGAATGTGGAAAACACAGTCGAGGAAAAGAACTCAGACTTTACCTAACAGGAAATCTTTCCTGACGGCTGCTGCTTCGGGGGAGAAAGGCAGCAATGACAAAAATGACATACGTGCCAGTGACTTTTGGAAAAGCTCCCCTGCGAGCAGCGCACACCCCGTGGTCCCTGACGGACATAAGAGAACATTGTCTCATGATCTTTTTAAGCTCCTCGACCTTCACCGGGCTTCAACCTACGATAACGTTCCCACCTCCCAGGCAGAAAGTGGGGAAGGCAGAGGCTCCAGCCCCAGCCCCAGCCCTTCGAGCTGCGTCTCCGATAAGGAATTTCAACCCTGCCCCAGTCCCAGCCATCAGCCAAAGGAAATAGCCAGTCCTACCAGCAGCCCGGCCGAAGTCTCCCAGCCCGATCAGGAGAGCAAGGAGTTTCTGCAAAACATGATCCTGAAGCTGGAAAAAGAAATGGAAATACAGAAAAATGACTACGAGGAACAAATTAAAAGGTAACACGGTGCACAGCGCTGCTTTCTGGAGAGTACGGAGTCTTCAGCTGATGTTATTACAGCACTAGGGTTGCACAGATTTATTTACCAGTAATACTATGCAGTATATAAGAGCAATGACTAATGATAAAATATAATATTATAGTAGGCTATCTAAAAGTCAGTGCTCATGTGCTGTACTCTCATGATGCAGTTGCTAATGTTATATTACTACACTATTAATACTCTATAGTTCTTATTACATCAGTGTATGGCACTATAACATTTCTGCAATAATGCCACTGTCATAATTCTTGTTATTATTACAATATTGTACCATTATACTATCCAGAATTCAGCTGTAGCATTATTACATTATTAGTTGTACCCATCAGTGTTATGATAGCTTCACATACTGTTATCATAGTGTTGTATATCACATGAATTGATTTATTGCATCGTGTTATGTGGCCATTGAGGGTCAGGGGATCAGGACAGAACCTCTGGCTTCTTTTACTGCTTAATGACACAGAGGGTGGACTCCTTAGGAGCCAAATGATGACTTCCTGGCACTCTTCTGATCCAATCCTTTCATGCTCCGTTTCTCTTTGCAGTCTCGAGAAGGAAAACTATGAAGTCTGGGCCAAAGTGGTGAGGCTGAATCAGGACATTGAGAAGGAGAAGAAGAAGTGTGAGGAACTGGAGCTGAAGTTGATGAACATGGAGCGCTCACGGGAGGACATGGAGAAGAAAAACAAGATGCTTGAGGAGGAGATAAAAAACTTATCTAAATCCACGAGCAAAACTGATGCCAAAACCAACTAGGTGAAGATACCCAGCTGTGCCCAGACATAAAATGGAGCTGCATGAATCCACAGGAATTGCCAAGCAGGTTCAGATCCAGGGACTTGTATCATCCGGTGTTCTGCTACTGACTGCGGGCTGGTTCGGAGAAAGGAGCCCAGAAGTTAGAGGCTGGTTTATGCTCTGAAACAGGAACTTTCAAAAATATTCTTTAGCTTTTTTGGTGTGGTTTTTTTCAACTCCTCTTTCAGCTGCTCAAGTTACCTGTAGAACAGGCCAATACTTCTTGCTGCTCAAACAGAATATCTTGCACTCAGGAGTTCAGGTTAAGGACGCATTATGCCTTTACAAAAATAAACCAGCAAGCATCCCCCCTGCCAGCCGGCTGGCTCCTTGCTGCAGACACCCACAGTGCTTCTGAGTGGAACAAAAACTCCATGAATCCTGGATCTGGGAAGACAGAAAAGCCCCGAGGTCTGGGGTGACACAGCCTGTCACGCAGTGTGTCTGGATGATGGGCTACAAATGCTGTCAGCACCACGGTCGAGATGTTCACATACAGTTGATTATTGCTCTTATAGAGTAAGCGAAGCCCAGACAGCCCATCGGGTCCACGGAGAAGAGGTCTCATACAGCATCACTCGCTGTGCTGTGCCAGACTCATCGATATCAAGGCTCCCAGTATCAAATCAAAATATCATTAAAAACTCTTTCATTAAGCAGCTGTTCAGTTATTTTAAATCACTGTTCCTTACAGCCATGTGTATATAAATCCAGCATGGCCGGTGACAGGGCTTTGGAGAGCACTTTGACACATCCATACACCGAGCTCTCTGTGCAGAGGGAGTCCATCAGCAACTTTACCCGGTACAGAAAATGGGGCTTCTGCATTTTTCCTATGGATGGTTTTCAAAGAATAACAGATCTGGACTTATTTACCGCCTCCACTTTTGTTTTTCATCATTTCATCAGTGTAGAACAGGATTTTCTCAGCCACCTTGGTGGAAACCTGGGTTTGCACCCCAACGATGATGCTGGGTCTCTCTTGCTGCCATCAGTGTCAAGACTAACCAGGCCCGAAGGTCTCATGGTGCCAGTGTGGCTATTTGTAAACTTATCTGCTTGTTTTCCCACTGCCTGCCAGCAAGTCTCCCTTCCAGCAGTACCAGGATGCTGCGGAAGCTTTTGGTGTAGGAAAGAAAATAACAGGACTCTGCAAGAAAACCTTTTGCTCCTCATTTATGTTAAGAATGGGGAACACCACCACACAGCCTCAGCCCAGCCTAGAGCCTTCAAGGGAAGAGAAAAGGGAAAAACACAGAGATCTGCAGGAGTTTTCAAGCAAGATGTCTAGGACCAAACGTGTGTCTCTGTGCCAAGCATGGTGAAGTTAATGCAATGACACTGGATTACTGCTACTGAGGACTTGGCTTTGGTGATACGGAAGTTCAGCTCGAGACAGGCTGCAGGCCTGCTTGGCAGAGCCTGCAAAGAAAAACGAGCTGGTGAAAGAAAGGGACAAAGAGGGAACTATGTGAAAAAGGGGGAGGTGGGAGCAGAAAAATGTTATCAGAGAATAAAAGTCAATACTGGGTATATAGCACTTGCTGCTGTCAGCCTTGCTGGGAGGGGACTTGTCTAGCCCTAAAACTGAGCCCAGACTCCTTAGTCTCAAACTTAGATTCAGTTCGGTGTATTGAATCTGCCTCTGCTCAGCTGTGGCTATAAAGTACAGGTAAAGGGAAGGTTTGTGAAACTTGAGCTGCATTTAAGAATCTGACCCATAAATAGCTCATTCGACCTATAGGCTCTGACTGCAGGTGGTTTTCCTTTCCATAGGATCCCCAGAAACGACACAGCTCCTCACTCTCCTGCCCACAAACCTTCACACCAAGGCATTAATTTTTTTCTGGAGGCCTGCATGGGGTTACTGCATGGGGCTACGGCAAAATCACAGTGCCTTCCAGAGGACCCACAGCCAAGGTCCTCTGCTCTTGCAACGATCAAATCTGATTAAAATGTGTCAAATCTGATTAAAATGTTTCAAATCTGATTAAAATGTTTCAAATCCAAAACTTGGTAATTTGAAATCTCAGTAAGGATCACTGCATTGGATAAGCAGGCCTGGACCTGCTGGTGCAGAGCTCTGCAGCCCACAGCCTTGCAGAGGGATGGGCATCACAGGGGAGGACAGTGTGGCCTCCACCAGGCTTGGCCACCTTCAAAGATGAGCTATCCAGACCTCACCTTCCCCATCACCTGCACGTCCCACACGCTACGACATCCTGAGACGATACATTCCTTGTCTCCTCAAGTCTCTTTCAAGCACCACTAACACCACTGGTGCTGCAAGTCAAAGTTCCCACCATGCACCTACGGGTCCCACATCTTCCTGGCATTCAAATCAAGAGGTTTCCAAAGTGCCTGCGAGATGCATTTTGCTTGCTGTCATTTCAGAGCAACTGTTCCCATCCACGATTCTTTTCTGATTTCAGATGACCTTGATAGAGCTGCTTCAGTGTTTATTTAATTTTTTACCTTTACAAGGAACTCATTACTAATGTGGGCATGAGGCTCAGGAGTCATTTAGGGAGAAACTTCTCCATCGGGTCTAGGAGAAACGTCGTGAACATCTGGGCTGGAAATGCCACACGCTCCTTTCTGCAAAGATCAAAAGTGTGAAGAGACAAATAATTCCTTCACAGCCCGCAGTAGACTGTAATGACGTGAAAAGGCTTGGCTGAGGCTCAGAAGTCTCCGCGATTAGGACAAGTGCACGTTATTTTAGTATAAACTGCGCATTCCTCCACTTCCGCTGCAGATAGGCAAAACAACCTCTATCAGAGCATGACTGCTTCTGAAGATCAGAGTAACTGCTTTGAAGATATTCTCCCCATTAAAACTTGGAGTGTTTATAGTGGTTATATTTAAAAGATAGACTTTCCAATAGAGGTCAGGTGGGCTGGAAATTCCGAAGTGCCTGGGGGGAGTGAACAACCTCAGGGAGTGACATGGGCATCTTATGAGCTGGTGTTGCTGTTGGGTGCTGTAAGATAAGGAGTGTTTTCCTTTTTAAAAAGTGAGCTTTTTCCAGAGACAGAAAAGCATGGATCTGCCTGTGCCAGACCTGTGGGAACTTTGCATCCTTTTCAGCTCCGGGGGTTTATCCTCTCAGCTCAGCCACACAAAGCCCAGAGCTGCACCTGAATAGGGGCAATGCCCAAATCCTACTCTGGATTTAATGCACTTTCAGATCTTCGGTTGGAGACACCAGAACATGAGGTCCCTGAAAACTGACTGATGCGTGACCTATATTTCCTTCTTCCCTCTTTTTCGCAGCCAAGCTGTGAAGCTTTTTGGGGAAGGAGTAGCAGAGAAAGTCTCATCTGTTCCTGAAACGGGGGTTGTGGTTCCTCTGTGCTGCAGGGGGCATTACAAACTCATGGAGGGGTGTTTGGTGGCTGCTTTCCAGCTCGGAAGGCTTTAAGCATTGATTCTGGATATCCTCAAAAGTGTGAAACTACTACTATCATATAAAAGTACAATGGATCGTCTATCATGGAGAATATGTAGAAAGATCATTTTAAACCCTGTCCTGGGCACTGGAGGCTTGGAGGCTGCCAAAAAGGCAGTTTTCTTTCCCTCTTACCCCTCACACTGCACAGGCAGAGGGCACAAGAGCATCCCCTTCAAGGTGATGGGAGAGTGTGTAGGATAACCCACCAAGGATTTTCCTCTCCCTTTAAATGTGATGTGGCTTTCCAAATTAGAGCAATTAAAAGCACAGAGCTGAATGCATCTAAAACTGTTAAACCATGCATTACGGGGTGCAAATATGACATCTTTTAGGATAAAATTTTAATCCTGCTCTCACTGTCTAGTATTCTTTGCATTAGAGCAAAAAATCTGGTTTGCTCTTCTTAGGTATTTACTTCATTTGTTTAGGAATTCACTTCATTGTATCCAGGCATGAGAGGCAAGAAAGTAAAATTATCCTTCCCATATTATTGTCTTTGGATCCCGAGCCAGTCATGCTTATGCTGACTTATCCCCCCATATTTTATCAAAGTTGCATTTTTGGCATGATAGTAACTTTCCTTTTTTAGCTTAGCTACTGCATAAAATAGCAACTTGTTTTGGGAGTCGAGGTGGACGTGCTGGAAAAGTGTCCAGCCGTTATTTAGGATGGCTTACACAAACGAAAGAGAAGCAGTGAGAACATGTTGTTCCTCCCCCCGGAATGACAGATTACGGCAGTCCGTCCTTCCTTTACATGGGAGCTGGAAGATACCCCCAAAATAGGCTGCTTTGAAGAAGAAAAGACTGCCAAATTGAGACTTCTTGTATGAATATTTGTTCACCAAGGTGGGGAGGAAAAAAAGAAACCTCCCCAGACTTTGAGCCAAGCCCTCCCTGGAAGCGGTCCCACTCTCTGGCTTTCTCTGTGTTTTCCTGCCACCTTGCTGCAGCGTGGGGATGCTACAAAGCCAGACCGTCAAACTGGCCCGGAGGAAAAATGACCTGGCAAAAAAAGGAGCATCCTGATAAAGCGAGGGCCAACACAGGGACAGGAGGAAGCAGCCAGGGTAGCAGGGACAGGAATTGTCTGAATAAGCACTCCTTAGGAGAAAATGCTTGTCTATTCCAGCACAAAAAACCTGCAAGTTTAGGAATTCTGAGTTATTGAAGCAGATAAATGCCCTGAGCTCTTGCATGGTGAATACTGTACAGAGGCTGGGACAGCTTCTTCCTTGGGTAATTCACGTTGCCAACAGCTCACCGCATGCATGGTCTCCACCGAGAACAGTTCACCCTTCTAGCTGTTTTCCTTTACAAGAATTTTTTTGGTAGGTAAGTCCCATAAACAGAAGTGCTCAGCAGTTAATTGGGAACTTGGTTTCTTAAGAAATATAACTTCAGCCAAGTACAGCAACCAGGTGAGTGATGGGAATTTGGGTGCAATTTTCCTAACCGTCAGGCTGTGGGGCAGAGCAGAGACCTGAGTGGTGCTGCCACCGCAAGACTCCAGGGTGTGCTCGACCTTTAGCAAACAGCAGAGAATTTACCCAGCTGAAAAATCCACCAAGCAGAGAGCTCGGCGAGCATCTTGAGTCCATCATGTAAGGAAGCCATTCGCTTTTCATGCATAGCCCTGTCCAAAAGGTCTCCCTGTACTCCCGTGCCCAGCCAACCCTGCTGAGCCCAGCACGGCAGAGGGGTACGACACACCCGGTGCCGTCAGCGGCCACTGGTGTGGCTTGTGAAAATTTGCTTTATCACGTGTAAAAACACGATGTGATATTTTGGCCCTCTTAACACAATGTACCGATAACAGGAACTGGCAACGGAGGAATGTTCCTGTAATCTCATCAGCTGGCCAAAATGCTGTTTGCTGCATCCAGGGAGCTATTTCCAAACGAGTGCATTTTAAAACAAGGCAGCGAGGCAGGGGCCAGGCTTTGACCTCTTATTAAAGAAATGAGGATAAGCATCAGCTTGGCATCTGCTTTCTGAGCATGTGAGAGGTAAATTTTTCCTTTCCCGCCAGCGTTGCCTTGTTTCTTTCCTCAGCTCCCCGATAAGGGCCAGCACAGGCTGCCATCCAGCCGGAGAGGCTCCCCTTGCACTCTGCATGCTCTGGATGAGGTCCACACTCGATCCTGAGGGCCAGTGCAGGTTTTGAGTATTTTCAGTGACGACTTTACCCTGTGTGTCCCTTCCTGGGGCTCAGAGGATGGGTTTTCTAATGCTGCCAAATGTTCCCTTTGCATGCATATACCTTTCTGATGCCGCTAAAACCCCAGTGCTCATTTTAAGTGCTGAACTCTATGGAAATGCCTATCCAAATAGAGTCAGGAGGTCAGCCAAGCACCCCAAGGACAGTTGTTTCCAACACAACAGCTACAGGCAGCACCGAGGAATGAAAGGTCAAATGTCCACTGGAAACTGGAGTGTTTTCACATCCTGGGATGGGATGTTTCCATTGGAGGAGTGGGAACATCCTGCTCCTTTGCTACCTTCCTTCTATCCAGTGTGAAGAAGGCTAGATAAAGAAGTCTGAAATGGGGTTAAATCACATTTACAGTTTGCAGAAGACCTGGGATACAGGTTTAGAAATGCATTAGTTCCATGAGACTGGATCTTTCCCTTAGCTGGCAGTGGAAGGGCATTGGCTTAGGGTGGAGGATAGCACAAGAAGTTATGGAAAAGCAACAGCCGATTACGTTGCTGTCACCCACTCTGACCTGCTTCTGCTTACTCAAATATAAAGCCTCACTGGCAGGCCTCACTGGCTTGTAAAAATAAAACCATAGGAGAGTCTTTCTTCCA